GCGGGCCATTGAGAAGTTCGCTTTTACTCGCGTCTTCGAGGAGGACGCTTCGCAGCTGGATGTCTTCCACCGCGCTGACATTCTGCCCATGGTCGAAGGCGTGCTGGCGCCCAACGGCGGCGAGGGCACAGATGCCATGGTGGCAACCTTGGGAGTTACCGGCTCGGGCAAGGTGCGCTTCCCTTTTTCTGTCGGCCTGTATTTGTGACGAATTGAAAGCTGATCTTGTCTGCAGACTCACACCATCCTGGGTTCCAAGACCCAGAGAGGCATCACCCAGCTCTCTCTCGATGTGCTCTTTAGCTCCCTCGGCGATAACATGATTGACGAGGACGATCTTCTTGCAGTTACGGATTCCTTGCAGGCATGTGACGCCTCCGAGTCCACTCTCTATTCCGCCGCACAGTTCCTCGATGCTCTCTACGAGCCGCAGCACCTGACGAGGTCGCGCGCAGCGACTCCAATGGTTGTATGACATACTCTACCCTCTTGGGCCTTTTTCCTTCTCCTCGAACTGTGCCGACTAACATCCATCTAGGGCGAGTCTCACGGCTTCATGTCTCCTCCACCCGCAGCCCGACGTAACCTGCACCGCATCTCCAACGCACCGCAGACCCCGGATGTCAGTCACATTAGCGTGGCCTGTGATACTTCGTCCGAGTATGCCGTCGTGGTTTCCATGTATGAGGTTCACAATGACCGAATCTACGACCTACTCTGCCCCCCCAGCAAGGCAAATTCGTCCAAGGATATGCGTCGTCGCCCGCTTCTTTTCAAATCCACCGAGATGTCGCCAGACCGCAAAGTGGTTGCTGGTCTTCGCAAAGTGGTCTGCGCCACTTTGAAAGATGCCATCATGGTTCTAGAGGCCGGTCTTCAAGAGAGAAGGGTCGCAGGCACCGGAAGCAACAGCACATCCAGTCGCAGTCACGGCTTCTTCTCCTTTGAAGTTAAGAAGAGATCGAGGAGTCGCCGAGCCGGATCTTGGGGGGGCAGCAGGTTTACAGTTGTGGACTTGGCTGGCAGCGAGAGGGCGAGGGATGCCAAGACTGCTGGTGCTACCCTCGTGGAAGCCGGCAAGATCAACGAGAGTCTGATGTATCTTGGTCAATGTCTTCAGACTCAGAGTGAAGCAAACGCAAACAAGGTGAGTGTTGATGTATTTCATGATCAGAAATTAGTGCTAACAGCAGCAGTCCAATGTTATCCCATACCGACAATGCAAGCTCACTGAACTGCTCTTCTCAAATTCCTTCCCTTCAGCCTCTGCCCAGTCTCACGGGGTCAGGAGGAATCCTCAACGGGGAATCATGATTGTAACTGCCGACCCTCTGGGAGACTTCAATGCGACGTCACAGATCCTCCGATACAGCGCTCTCGCTCGTGAAGTCACTGTTCCTCGGATCCCCTCGATCACTGCAACAATTCTGGCCAACCCCCCAGTTCCCGCGAATAACCCGACCAGCCCCGTGCATCAGCATCACCCTCGCCCATTCGTCCCTCCAGGATGCTCTACCTCCTACCGAACGGTATCCGCAGGCGAGCGGGAGACCATGGAGCTTGCCGCTCTCGAAATTGCTCGGCTGAGCGATGACCTCGACCAGCTTCGAGCGGAGCTCGAGCACCAAGTCGAGGCACGCACGACCGCAGAGGCACACCTCCTCTCCATGGAGGATCGCATGCTGGACCTCGAGGCGGATATCCGAGACGACTGCGCCTCCGAATTCGAGCAGCGCCTCGCCCTCGAAATCGCCCGCTTCAAAGCATCCTTCGCCGTAGAGCAGGAGCGCAACGAGGAGCACTGGGATCGGAAGGTCGACCTCCTCGAGCGCGGGCTGGACATTGACCCCTCCAGCCAAGACGGCGACAAGGAGAACGTGCTGGTCGAGAACCTCGAGGAGGAGGTAGAGCGCCTCAGGAGGGAGAACGGGGTCCTCAAGCGCGAGCTCGCGTCCCGCAGCCCGACCAAGCGCCGGCCCCTGGAGGAGCGGGACGACTTCTCGGCCGGGGGCTCCTCGCCTCACCACGCCGCCTCTGCCCTGGACACGAGCGTCTCCAACATTGGTCGCAAGCTGGAGCGGATGCGGGTGAGCAGTACTAAATCTCAGACCAGCACTTCGTCGTCACGGAATCCTGCGGCCGTCGCCTCGGGGAGCCCGAAGAAGGCGCGCAGGCCGGCGAATAAGAGGTGGGAGGCTGAGGATGAACTGCAATAAGGTGCTGATAGATTGGTTGTCTCAATGATGTTTTAATTACGGCGATACTTGGTTTTGGTTTTATTGTCTTTCTTCTGGATAAAGTGTTTAGGGATGGGGGGCTTGCTTGACTTTTTTGTTTTGATGGTTTCTCTGGAGCAAATACCCCTTGCAAGGCTTGTTTCATTATCGACATATTTTGAAGCTGATATATACGTATATGTACATATTTCCGAGGTGAATATCATCACACGTTTCTAAATGATCTAGACTATTGCTGGCTGGGGAATGAAATATGCGTCAAATATTATTATTGGTCCCTCCTCATGGCCTTGAAAAAGAATCTCGCTTTCCTTGCCTATTCGCTATGACATGATGACACTTGTGACAAAATTATAGAATAAATGTTGCGCTATGCAAATACGTGCATCTTTTCATGCATCCATTAAAATGGCCGTTTAGAATCAAGCACTGGCCCATCATTTGGATGCAGAGGGAGTGTAGTACTCGGTGATCTGGGGAGGAGCCGCGGGTTGGTGGGTTGGGCTCAGCCTCTGAGGCTCCTTGCCCTTTTCGCTGTAAAACTCCGTAGGCATTGTGTTCTGAGGCTGGGTCGAATCCCTATTCTGCAGGGGGATGCCAGGTGCAGGAGCTTGAACGATCTGAGCCCCCTGAGGGAGTTGCTGCCATCCTTGGCCTGCGCCCCAGAACGATCCCGGGTTGACAATGACAACTTGCTGGCGTTTGGCCTTGTTTCTCTTGTTGGTGTCGATGCAGGAACCGATAAAGAGGATGAAGTATATGAGCCAGAGCAGCCACAAGAAGACTGTGAGTGCGATCCACTGGGCGAACCGGCCGTTAAACGGCAGGGTGCAGTTGTAGTAGTCATAATCCTGTGTGCTGGAGTTATAGCGAGAGTCGCAGTTTGACGATCTGTCGCCATAGTGGGAGATGACGGCAAATGCGGAATGTATACCAGCAACGAAGGAGGCGAAGAGCCAGATGAGCAGGCACATGCCAACATGGGCGCCGGGGTGAATGCCCGCCTTTTGTTTTTGGACAGCACGTACGATGAGCTCTGAGAGACTCCAGACGAATGCGATAAGGGCCTACTCATGGGCAAACGAATGTTAGTCCAATAACACAATAACAACTACATTGCAAACTGATGCGTACCGCTGGCGATGAGTACCAGGCTGTAAACACCTCGGTAGTTGTGCCCTTGAAGGAAAAGGACAAGGCTATGCAGAGGATAGACACAACAATGCCGGAACCGTGGAGGGCCGATCGAGTAATTTTCCAGCCCTTCGTCTCAGTGGGCTCCGCGCGGATGATCTGCTGGTTGGCCGGAGGCTGAGCAGCGGGATATTGACTATAGGGCTGGAAGGGTTGGCCGTATGCGCCTGGGAATTGCGCATATGCCTGCGAAGGCGCTTGGGGCTGAGGCCCGGTGGTAGCCATGGCTGTCGGCTTTCGAAGGAACTTGGTGGTGTTTACTGGCGACTATCACAGAGTATGGAGAGGTTCTCGGGAGCAGGCCGCAGTTCTCGAAACACGGGGTCAAAAATTCAACCAGGTATATTGAGCGACGGAGAACGACTGAGGATCACGAGCGGAACGGAGCGAGTATTAGTAGGCGCGGTAGAGAGCGAAAGCGACGAAACGAGAGTAGGTGGTAGCGCAGGCTCCCAGGCGGGGATCGTGAACTTTTGAACGAATGACTGGAGAAGCGAATGGTGCCGACGGTTCGACGGTGCCTGTCGTGCGAAGAAAAGAAACGACCGAGGGGCGAGGCAACCAGTGCAGGCAGCAGGAGGTCAGAAGAGTCAGCGAACGAGCCTGTCAGACGTCGAGGCTTGGCCCTGCCCTACAGGCCTACCAAAGTCTCGACTCACCATTCTGGTAGGATCCTGTAGGGCCAAGACACGGCCAAGAGAGGCAAGTCGCAGAGTCATGCCGAGGAGCCGGAAATTTTCTGCAGGGGCGGGCCACTTGGACGAATCCTAATTCTGAGGCTAGCTGCCACCGGCGAAGTGCCAAAACGGCGGACCCTGGCTGAGGCTAAACACATCATCGTCTCTTTGGCCGTTTCTGGCGCCTCCTGTCGCGGGAACGCCCCGCCGCCACAGCAGGAAGCCGCATGAGAGTCCTGGTCTCATCCTGGGCGTCAAACAGGGCTGAAGCGAGTAGGTTAATTTACTTTCCATGAAGGGACTTGTGGCATGCAATGGGATTTCTCCCTCTTTCGGAGTCAAGGTCACCTACCCGGGATGGGGGGATTTCTAGGCGCTACTACTACCTATGTAGCTGCCTCAAGGGATCTCTAATGCTACCTACTTAGTTACGAGAAGAACTGCATGGGCGGTAATAAATCACTCTATGACAATCTGCGTACCGGATTAATTTTTAGTAACTAATCTCAAATCCATGGTTGTCACTTCAACGAAGCCAGTCCGGAACCCGCGCACCAGTTGGAGCAATGACCAACTGCCGGGGCGCATTTGGCTTCTACGAGCGCATCGAGGAGTTTTGAGTGATTCGTGCTCAATGGCTCGCTCTGTGCAGGTAACTCTCTATGAAAGGTTTGTTCCCTTTCGTACATCCAAGCCCAGACATCTCTAGAACCTCACAAGTCAGTCAACGTAGGATTCACATGCCTGGAAGGTCAGCCTACGTGCATCTCGCAGAATATAGACGACATAGCAGAAATTGTGGTTGATAGACGGTTTGAATTTTGGTATATGGATCATAATCTATCCTCTGCAAATACAGCATCGCTTTCTGCAACTCGGGTTCGGCCCTCTTTTACTCTCTCTGCAGGATGGCAAACAAACCCATCACGCCCAGCATGACTGTCTTGAGCCATGGGTGCTCTGACAGGAGAATTGTGACGTATCCGACAAAAGGAATATCTAGCACAATATTAGTACAATATGTCAGACTGAGGCGGACAACTTGGGGGAGCTCACAGCCAACAACACTGCCAATGATATCCTTGCGAACCAAGTAGTCCTGGCCTCGAGCGTATAGCTATCAGTCAGGTCAGTATCCATCCGTCCTGCAGTCAAGGTTCCCATGCTACACACCTCAGTATCGTCGGAAGGATTGTTGTCGCCCTTGGTGAGAAGCTTCGCGTCCTCGCTAGAAAATCGTGTCAGTTCTCAACTCCAAGTCCGACCAAGCACAGCCAGAAGAGAGCTGGTTGGGGAATACGCACCCCTCTCCGTATTTTCTGACGACACGGTGGACAATGGGAATGTCCTTATCCTTCACATTGTATACGACAACCTCTCCGACAGAGGTATCTTGCAACAGATTGCGATTCCACAGGAACAGCAGATCTCCTCGCTGGAAGGCGGGCTCCATAGATCCGGACAGAACGACGACGATCGGGGACGGCGAGTCGGAAATGACAGAGAGACCTTTCCACATCTGCGGTAGATTTGGTTAGAACAGAGGTTCGACACATAGCGAGGATATCTGGGAGGTGGTCTGGGGTACCATGAAAGCCGAAGACAGGATCAGGGCGAAATTCAAGACCTGCGCGGCGGCCTGCCGGGGGTTCTGAAGCATGGACAGCATTGTAGCGGTCGACAATCGGGGTCCTGAGTAGAGAGGCCGATTGCGCAAGGGTCCCAGTGACGATGAGGCAGGGAAGTCGAGTTGCGTCGCGAGTTGAAGCAGATCGTGATGCAGCAAAGCGTGTCCAAGCTACCAGCTACGGTAGCCATTCGCAGTAGTGGACATGTGGCTCTCCAGCGACTGTTTGAGTTGGGGTGCACGGACCAATGTGCCGAGGGTCCTGAAAATCGCCCGCTTCTTCGACTCTTCCATGCCAAAAAAAGAACAAGGCAAAATGCGGGCCATTTCGTGTGGGGGATCTTCTCCAAATTGCACTGTTGTAGGCTATTCATTCCCGTCTGTGGCTCTCCAATGTGGCTGCCGCCTATGATTGCAGGTCGCAAGATGTGATGTCATAGAGATCGAGAGAATCGGAACACATCAGTCTAAGGGCCAATGTTGAACGAGTGACGTCGTCAATTAGACCTGATGATCATTCTCAGGATATTATTTATTATCGCGGCATAGCCCTACTTATACGTACGCCTTCTGTAGATTCACATGAGAAATTGACATTGATCCGAACTACATCGTACCCAATTTCCACAAAGAAATCTATTTAAGGAGACCAAAATGTCAGACAACAACCAGAACCAGCAGTCGCAGCCAAGCCTTGTGGGAGGCCACGCGCAATGGGTGAAAGGTGCAGCAGAGGTGAGTTGGTAATTCCGGGGCTTGACTTCCATTGATGCCGTCAACTAGACGAACCTCGCTGACTGTACCTCTTTGTCTAGGCTGCCATTGGCGACATCAGCGGCTCGCACGCCTGGAAGTCGTCTGGGGAACAGGACAAGGCAGCCGGTGTCGCTGTGATGAAGAAGGCAAGCGAGACGAGAGATGAGAGTCAAGGGTACGGGCGGGCGGAAGAACTGGCAGGCAAGGCTACTGGATGCGAAGGCATGAGGAAGGAAGGCGCTGCGTCCAAGCGCGACTAATCACCAACTTCTATTCTGGCCTCATGGTTGCTGCCATGGGCTACTGTATTGACTCATTTAAATTCTATAATCATCACAACATTGATGTGCAAATAGCCGACTGCGGTATCTACTAACATGCCGTGCTGTCGATGTTGGTGAGGCCTCGACTTGTTGCTTGATTGTTGATAGTGCATGTGGTTGTGGTTGGCAGTTGCCTCATACGTTGAGCCTGCTCCTCATGTCTCCTCCCACTTACAGCTGTCGAGAAACCAGGGAAAGTGCAGTACTCTGACTGATGCGGCAACTTCTCGACCAACATCATCCATCTTCTTTGTTTTGATCCTCTGGTTCTCTTTTCTTTACACCACCCCGCTTTGCTTTCATCTGCATTCCCTGCTCGATCTCTCTCGCAAACGTGCCAGCTCGAGCACATCAGCTTTACCAGTCATCGTCATACTCTCTTTCACCTCCCGTCATCTGCCTTACGATCGCTTGCGTCAGATGGAGACTGCTCCTCTCCTTTCGTCGGTGGGCGGTCTGCCTGGCCCTACCACGCTGCAGGACCATGTGAGTTGTTGCAAATATTGGATCCATCATCTCGCCCATTTAGCCCATCTAACTGGAAACCCTATGGTAGCCGGCCTTCCTACGAGCCAGCCATTCTCCATGGAGAATCATCCCCCAGAATGTCCTAGTGATCCTCCGAGGATTCGTCCTCGCCTACCTCTCTGCAGTTACGGTCATGGTTGCCAACGACAAGCTCACAACCGAATCAGAATTCACGAACTGGAGGCACTTCTTTGACTTTGCCATTGTCAGCTTCTTCTTGGTGCTCGTATACCACATCATCACTTTTGTATGTCATACCTCCAGTCACCTTTTGTTCCGTGTCTAACCTGCCGCTCAGTCATGGACATTCACCCATTTGTACTACCCCCACGTCGAAGAAACCGATGGAATCGAATCATACATCATCTCCGCAATGTCTCTGCCACGGAACATGGCCAGTTTGCGCAACCAATTCTACTTCACCCTGTTCTACGCCACAGCTGTTGTCTTTTCCTTCATGAACTCTACCGTGTATTGGTTCATCACTCGACAAAACGAAGCTGGCGAGCCTGAGGAGCCCCCGCCCGACCTGTCATCTATTTCGGCTCTGCCAGCTTTGCCCGATACTCCCTGTAAGTGCTCACCGGTTGAACCTCTCTCCATCTATAAAAGATGCAGTAGCTAATGTCAGAGGATACTAGTCAGCGATTTGTTCGGAGAGGGTTGGTTCAAGGCGTTTGTCCTCATCAATCTCTATGGTATCACGTCTGTCATCATGATGATTGAAATACTCTTCTTCAACAGCGTCAAGCGTCCCTTTGTAGGTCAACGCTTATCAAATATTTTCTTCCGCGACAATTCTAACAAATTGTAGGCCATTGGTTCGCATCTCGTAGGGCTCATCCTATTTTCCGGACTTTACCTCGGCTGGGCAGCGATTGGAAAACTAGTGACTGGCTGGTTCGCATTCGATTGGCTTGATGAAAGCAAGGTCGGCTCACAGGAGGCTGTCACTGCTTATTGCATCGGCTTCGTTCTTCTTGCACCTCTCAGTGAGTCTCATCGGCGCATTATTCATTTAACACCATCATCCTAACACCCACAGTGTCCACCTTGATGTTTGGCTTCATCGCTGTGCGAGAAGGGTTCACAAAATCCCTTAGCCGGTCACGCGCTGCGGCTGCTGCGGCTGCAGCTGCAGCCCAGGACGCTCTCTCAGACTCCTAAGTCCATGGAGCCCATCTGACGATATCGGACCCTTTGTGAGTCAGATGTGCTAAGTGGGGGAAAGTTTGTAGCAGGGCAATACAGACACTGGATGGTATCACCAAAGCCATCGTGCTGAAGGGTAGCGGCGCAACCAGACATCAAGTGCTACCCTAATCATCACAAGTAGGTGAGGTTCTCTCTATACCTATAACATACCTAGTGAATCATTTTGGAGGAAAGGGTGTCATGGGGGGAACTCAATGACCAACGATTGTCCTAAAGTACGAATAACTTTACGCATCTCTTACCTAGTGAAGCCGAGTATTCGGTCCAAAATTCAATCATCATTTTCCATTTTGCAATTGGTTGTTGAAGGAATTTTGGGACAATGTGGCCGCTTCCCTTCAAGACATCCATGCCCGTGACCATCCTTTCATACCTACCTCCAAACTTCAACTGCCCTTGATCTCTATTATTTGCAGATTCAACAAAGAATCGCCAGCTGTTCTTCAATTAGACTCTTCACAATCATACCATCGTAGAGCCAACTGCACAATAAAACCCGGGGCTACCCAAGTACACTACAGCTACCGAAGTAGCGGGCGACTCTAAAGCGGGCAACTTCACCTCGTTCAAGTGAACCATCAAGTCCGTTCATGCAATAACGACTGATAACTGAACCAGCTAACGGGCGCATTCTGGTACCTGCTTGATTGAGGGTAGCAAAGCCCGATCAATTACGGAAAGACGTAGAATCCAACACGTCAGCACCAGTGAGCCAATGTCTCCAAGCCAGTTTGTCGGTGTCGATTTCAAAGGTAGTTTCAGGAAGGGAGGGGGAGATCCGCCTGACCCTGAATTAATTGAGCAGGCCATCCGGTGACTTTTGGTGGAACAGGACATGCCAACTCAGAGATGGCCAGAGGGAGGGGATGCAGTACAACGTCGGCTCGATGAGAAGAGACGGAATATGCCTCTTTACTCCTCTTCGATTCTTCCTCTTCTAGCCTGCTCCTTAAAATAGGACTCAGTCTCCTCTGTGGCCTCATTGGCTCGAAGAGCATAGTTTTCCCACAAGTCATGCACGCCTAGAGCCCAAGATGCGCTCTAAGCGACATCGGGAGCATGACTCCCGAGGGCACCGGGAGTGCCCAGTTTTCAGGGGAAGTGTGTCGGATGGGAATGAGCAAATGAGCCGTTGGACGATGACTCCACCTCGGACCAAGTCCCCGGAGGAGACCAGCTGTGTCCCAGGGTCATCAGGCCGAAATGGACAGCCGGTTGGCCCGCGCTGGAGTCGGTGAGCTTTCATTTAAGCGTAGCGGCAGCTAGATGGAAGATGGCGGAGGCGGAGAGAAGCAAGACATGACCTGATTACCAAAAACCTCTCATTTTACGTCCAAAAACCTACATGAAAGCAATAGCTGAGGGAAAGCAATGAATTCCAAAATAACAAAAGCTCTTGAGGAGAGAGAGGGAAGCTGAGCATCTTGGGTACCGAGACAGGTTGGCATACGTGTTTAGGGTAGGATGGTGAAGCGGCTTATATAATGAAGATATCCAACCACCGTGTAGAGCGCGTGCATCGTGACCTCGTTCACCCTCCTGTTCTCCCCAACATCCTTGCCCACTTCCAGAACATTCCGGCCTTACTACCCTCATCCAGGTCTTGGGCGTGGTACGTATCCTTTTTCGATGGTTTGATGGATGCATCTGCCTCGATGCCCAACTCCCAATTCAGGTAGCTGCGGGAAATTACACAGGACGATGCTTCCATACCGCATCTCTGGCAGCTCGGACGGAGGGGAACACCCCCCTCTGCTGGTTGTTGCTCAGTTCCAAGGCTCTTCAGAATGGATGGGGCCTCACTGTAATTAGAACGCGGATTTGCAGTAAGAAACAGGAGCACGAAATACACGAACGATTACGGGTTGATTGGTCGCTATTATAGCACATAAGCCATCCAATCTCTTGGGGTGGTGGGCACTGGGGAACACTACGTGCAGAGATTCACGGAGACGTGCGGGAGAACCTCCCTCCCGTTCATGTGTTACCCTGGATATGATCATTGATGGTGTGCCAATGGCAAACCACAATGTTCAGCATGTCTCGTTCGAGTCTTTCCCTTTGTTGCCTAATCTGCCACACCAAGACCAATTGGACCTTTCCCCGTGTCTCAGCCCAAGGTCCCAGAGACATGTCTGTGACTGGCTGGAGCATCGAATTGGCTCAGTATGCTCAAACTCTATCTCGCCGTTGGGGGGGACCAGTACATACCGTCTACCA